CGAAAGATAATAACTCTGAAGAAGAGACACCAACAAATAATAACACGACGAATGATACCTCGATAGAAATTACTTCGATGGATCTTCGCCAGCTACATTCAAGTCAAAAAGAAGCTATGAAGAAAATTATGGAATTTTCTGGAGAATCTAATGAACTTGATATTGATGAATGGTTAACTGATTTAACCAATTTATTTGGATTAATGAAATTAAAAGATGAAACAAAAATTCTCGAAACTATGGGTAAATTAACAGGATCAGCTTTACGATGGTATCAAGAAAATTTAGGATCATTTACTAAATGGGAAGATGCTGAAAAAGCATTAAGAGATCGATTTAAAGAATTTACATCATATAGTCAATTGATGCAAGATTTTATTCAGATCCAGCAAGAAGAAAATCAATCAGTAACATCTTTTTATGAACATGTTATGCGAAAATATAAGAAAGCTAAACAATATATTACTGAACAACAAGTAATTACAGTATTACAAACTGGTGTAAAAAATTCAATGAAAGAATATTTAATTCGAAATGAAAAGAATATTAATGATCCTGAAGAATGGTTACAATATGCACGAGAAGAAGAACATATACAGAAACGAATTCAACAACAGCGTAGTAATATGGGTTTGGAAACAACAACAACAACACAACCTTTCTTTGATCCAGTTATGTCCGTGAGAACATTTCAACCAACATCATCAAATAATCAATCATCAAACCGATATACATCAACAACAAAGTACCACCATAAACAATATAATCGTCCGGAAAATAATGGTACATATTCAACACAAAATAATAATCAAGATGTTAGAACAACACGGAAAAATGATTGGAATAATACAACATCCAAACCTAATCCATGTTTAATATGCAATCGAACTAATCATCCAACAATTAAATGTTATTACAAGAAAGAAAAAGGCTGTTACAAGTGCGGACAATCAGATCATCGAATATATGATTGTCCACAACAGCATTTTTTCGAGTAGGGGGGTCGGATGATGGCGACGATCCCCGTGGAGTTCAACAGTCATCTATTGAAACAA